GAATGACAAACTGCCATTAACAGAGTTTCGTGAAAATACACACACACTGGAACCTACCAGTTATACAAAATGGTGAAACTACACGCCGAATAACAAACTGCCATTAACAAAGCTTGGTGGAAGTACGCCCACAGTTATACAAATTGGTGAAATTACAGTTTACACCCTGAATGACAAATTACCGGGATTTTGGTAAAAGGACATGCATACTGGCAACCTACAGTTATACAATTAATTGGTGAGACTAAACAAACAATGACCAACTACATTAACCCTAGCTTGCGCACATCAGCACCTATTCCTGTCACATTTAATGCACATACAAATAATGAGACATTACCAGTAATACAATTCGTTGAAAATACACACTCGGATAGTAACCTACAGTAGTTATATATACAATACTATAATGAAGATGAAAATTACCATTAAGAATACTATTTGAAGACTAAGAAATTGATCTGGCACTGTATTAATTGCCGTAAGGATAAATTAGTGGTATGGGAGGATGTAAGTGCAATATACGGCGGACAGAGATAGAAGGAGCTAGTTGCCAAGTCTTTAATACTTATAGCGCCCCAACGTTCATGCGAGACGACGTGACCGATAGAGATATGCAGGTAGATAGATAGTGCCATATCAGAGCTAGTATTATCATCGATACGGAAAGAGAGTAATAGCGGCAGAACGCTAATACTGATAGTCTGTTGTATGTATGCTGAAGCAGCCCAGTTCAAAAAATAAAGATTATATACTATTGGATTAACAGAATACAATTCACAGATAGAATTGTTGTATAGGAGGTAGTAATCACAATAAACTCACATGGATTATAATTCCTCATGCTGTATGAATATGATAGAACTGGAGTATTTAACATAGTAAGAACGAAAGTTAAGTTGGCGAACTTGCAAATTTAGTCATCAATTATCACATGATTATCACATAATTATCGTAAGAAAGATTAGACATAGGAGGGAGAAATTAATCAACATACACACCTCTAGTTCTTCCCGATTGCCCAAGGCTGGTGGTAGTCGTTCATCTGAATGTTGGGGCTGTTGTGGCGGTGCTTGTGCTTGCGGTTGTTGGGCTTGTTGTGGCTGTGGCAGCTGGTGTTGTTCAGGAGGTGGTTCATGGACTTAACCGTCATCATCAAGGACTTCCTTAGCCACAGGGTATTGTACATTATTTTCTGCCATTCGAACTGAAATTTGCGTGGGTCAACTTCGCCAATTCTTGAAGAACCTTCTGCTTGTCCGCCAATCTGAGCAAGAAGGCGTGTGGTAGACAAGGCAGGGCATTTATAGTCTCTCCCGTAATTACCTTAGCGTGTTCTGCATGATTTGGCCCTTTGGGACTATTGTTTTGATTGTTTTAATTTTCGCATATCATTATGAGTGGTATGAATAGGACTTTCATTGCAGGGGAACGTATAGAACTGGAGATATTAGTGAACATGTCTTAACTATAGGTCATTTTGAGATAATCCAAAATCAACTATATACAACTATGTAATGGGTAGCGAAAGATTCCTCTCACTATGAGGAATCTAATGATAAGACTTTCATTGTAGGGGAACGTATAGAACTGGAGATATTAGTGAAAATTTCTCAACTTTAGCTAATTTTGAAATAATAATATAACTCTCATATTTTCAATTTTCAAAAGACAACTATGCTATATACAACTATGTAATGGGTATCAAAAGATTCCTGTCACCATGGGAAATCTGATGATAGGACTTTCATTGCAGGGGCACATATAGAACTGGAGATATTAGTGAAAATGTCTCAACTATAGGTCATTTTGAGATAATTATATATAACTCTCATATTTCAAATTTTTAAAACAATTCTAAAACGCTTTAAAACCAATCTAAAACAATCTTAAATAAGCTAAAACAATCTGCCTATAATACAGCTCTACACATTTACTTATAGTCCCAGTTCGGAAACCGTTCTGACGTACTTTGTTTACCTCAAACCACTAACTTGGCACTAACAACAAACCTTGGACATATTTCTCCCGTTTCGATACATTTTGGCAAAAACATTTAGGATACATTTAGGATTGTTTCCTGTTGTTTTTCGTTATTTTACATTCATCCTGTTTGTTCCATGCATTATATGGTAAATATATTTATCATTCACATAAACACACTGACAATGGCAACCACACACATTTACTAACATATACACACATACACACAATATTTCCAACATTCCCCCCCCCCTTGACTCGCCTACGAGTCAAGCATCGCCTGTGTTTTCCACCTTGCATCCAAGGCGGCCTTCCTTGCAACCCTCTTAACAACATTTTCCTTCTTCACCGCCTCAACCTTTTTACCAACTTCCACTCGACCAGCTTTAAACGGGTACAAGTGCTGCATGGCCCTATTAATCATCTGCTTGCAACCATTTGTCATAACACAAACCTTACCACCACAAACAACTCCATCCTTGCCGACAATCAACTCCTTCACAATACCCGTCCTCCTCTGTCTCCTCTCTTTTTTCCCTGCTCGAACAACAACATCTCCTACACTCACTGACACCTGCCGCTTCTCTGATATACATACCTTGTGGAACTCTCTCAAGTTTGAGATATTCCTGTTTCCATCTATTCCAGAAATGCTCTATGACTGTACCTATATACCTAAACCTAGCTATGGTGTCTCCCTTAGATTCATACTTACTGTTAACCTGAGTTTGGCTGTCTGGTAATGCAATAATTCGCCTTCCGTGAATCAAGTGTGAGGGTGTCAATACTTCGCTCCCTACTTCATCGTAATCGTAATCGTAGGTTAAAGGTCTATCATTTACTGTCGCTTCTACTAATATCGTTCTTAATTAATCGAACGTAAGTTTCGCTTCCCAATCACCCCAACCAGCCTTTCGAAAAAACCTCCCCACTAAGGGGCGGTTTGAACAGCCCCGTGAAATCAACGCCTGAGTTTGCAAATGGTGCAGATTTTGTAATGCAAAATCTTGGCAACGCCGCCTGGCGCGGTTTGGTACATGGCTTGCATTTCCATTTCTTGTATATCACACAAGTTGCTAACATTCGTTTCACCTCTTGTCTTCCCTGAGGAACCCAATATTTCGACCTAAGCTGTGCTTACACCTTACACCATTGTGCATATTACACCATTATTACACCATAGTGCATAATCAACATAATCATGACAACGTTTTATAACCACCTTGGTAAATATATGACCCTTTGGCAAAACTATTGGCTCTCTTGGTTCTATGTCTAAATCGGATTTGATTAATCTTCCGGTACAATACAATATGCCATCTCTTTCTAATAATTCATACTGTCGTTCTAACTAGCTATAACTAGTTTGGTCTTTTAAAACTAATTGTGCTACCTTTATCCACTCTACCTCAGCTTCTCTCAACTAACTCTTATGCAATGTTCCATTGACTATGCTATCCCCTGCTTTCTTCCTTTTCAAATTTCCAACAAATCGTTTCAACCAACCTGTCACTCTTAATAATTTAGTATGAGAACTGAACTTAGTTACTTTAATCAAATTTGAAATTCCGTACAGAGAATCTACAGTTATCATTAAATTGACACTCAATTTTTTTCTCTTCCTTACTTTCTGATGTGGGTAGAATATCCCCCAACTGTGGCCAGTCACTTGGTGATCCTGTTAACCATCCCGGTCCTATCCACCAAAGTTTGCTATTTTTGAATTCTGAGACCAAAACACCTCTGGACCCTAAATCAGCGGGATTTTCCTTTCCCGGGCAATGTCCCCAATAAAGCTTATTGGTCAATTTCAAGACTTCATCAACTGTATGTCTAACAAACTGTTTCCACTCTCCTGTGTTGCGTATCCAACACAGCGTCGTCTTACTATCCGTCCAATACTTAATACCCTCTAACTTATACTCAGATTCTAAGGTATTCTTTACTGCATGCATCAACTGTGCCAAAATCCTAGCTGCCATTAATTCTAATCATGGTATTGTCAATTCCTTTAGCGGTGTAACTCGAGTTTTGCTAGCGATCAACTTAACATATGCTTTACCGCTTTCAATTGTAACAAGATATACAACGGCACAATATGCTCTCTTTGACGCATCACCGAAACCATGCAACCAATGTTTGGCTCCTCCTGTACTAACTCTATCGCCTACTCGTTCTTCCTCATACCTCTCAAGTATCACTTCCTCAGTCTCCCTAAGATCTACAAACCACCTTTCCCACTTTTCTCTCAAGTTCCTACTCAATACATCATCCCAATCTAGCCTGCTGACACAAATATCCTGAAATAAAATCTTAGCCTTTGCAACTGTTGGGCTTATAAGTCCTAGGGGGTCAAATATATGAGCAAGAAGGCTCAAAACATTTCTCTTCGAAGGCTTTAACCTTTGCGCTTTCTGGGTCAAATGGCCAAAACTAAACTTAATTGTATTTTTGATGCAATCCCACTCGAGCCCAAAATACCTTATCAACTTGATCTCCGGCTTGGCATGCAATCCTGTTTTGGCATATGTTGGCTCAAGTCCCTTGGGAGCACTTTGCTCTGAGTTTTCTCTTTCAATTTGCAACCGCAATTTGTTGTTGTTTGTGCGCCATTTACGCAAATTAAATCCGCCCTCTGCCAAGCGCTCTCTAGCTTTCATATAAAGCAAATACGCCTTCTCTGTAGACTTTTCACCGTTTGCTAAATCGTCTACATAAAACCCTATTAGCATTTTTTCCGCAAACTCTGCATCCTTCAGCACATACTCACTTATGTGATGTCGTGGCATTAAGCAGGAACGGCGACGAATTCACTCCAAACACAACCTGACAAAATCGATACACTATAGGGTTTAATTTGTTGCCCAATCTGGCCTTTCATGCGTTCAAAGCTCACCTCATAATTTGATGGCAACAGATTGTGATTCTCCCTCCAAGGTAGACCTACTGAATAACGCTGCCCATTGAACTTTAAATCGCTGAAAACTGACTCATGCACGTCTACATCTGCCTGAATCTCAATACTCTCTAACTCCCAAAACTAAACCTACATCTACGGGTGGCTCACAACTTACAATACTCACAACCGCACTATCATCCGCATCTCGACTTGCCAATCCAACTGGTCCCCACAACACCCAGCCCAACAAAGTCTCAATCGCCACAGGCTCATCAGCCTTACAATGCACAATACGATCCCCGTGAAACATCCACAAATAATCAGCGCCAACCAAAACATAGATTTCCAACTCTACATTAGACATACAAACATCTGCTAACCAAAGACCCTTCAAATGCGAATAACTATCCTGTACCAGGTCCAAATGATTTCTAATGAAAGAAATCTCTGGCACAACATAGGCCTCAACGGACACAACCACATCACCTCGAATAGACTTCAAATCTAACTGAACAACCTCTCGCACCTTTGTCTTCAAAGCTCTCTGCCCAAACGCCCCAACACTCAACAATTCTCTCCGCAACATCTTACAACCCAATTCTCTAGCCCATTTTGTAGTGACAAAGGACCGTTGACTCCCTGAGTCAAACAACACTCTTGCTTGTGCAGTTTTCTGCCCAACCAACATTGCTTGAGCCGTCTGCAACGCCACACTACATCCCAACTTAACAACCTTATTTTTCGGACTAACAACTAGTGTAGCTATGGTACCCGTACCATTGGTAGGACTTAAATTTCCTTCCTCCCCTTCTACCTCCAGGCCCTCTGGGTTATTCTCTGCATCACACAAAGCTGTATGATGTTCTTTTTTGCATGCACTACATTTTACTCTTATACTACAGTTCCTCCCTATGTGTCCCTTATTTAAGCATTTGAAACAACGAGAATATTTTATAATTATTTGCATACGGTTCTCCAGAGTCTTTACTTTCTTGCAATCTTCATGGTGATGCTGACCAAGGCAAAACGCACAATTCGCCATTCGCACTTTTGTCAAAAACGCTTGTGTCGTTTTTGTTCCAGGATTCCAACGTCTGTCTCCCCTCTCACGCCCATCTTTACCACGCTCTGCATCTTTGTGATGATGCTCCTCGCGCAACGAAATTTCCTCTTTTAATGGTGTCAGTAAATCGTCTACAGTCCACTTGTGATAATTTTTTCCCTGTGTAATTAATAGTCACACAGATTCCGGTAATTTGACGAGGATTGATAGCACAACATTGGACGAATACGATTCTTTTAGGACTCCGAGTGCTTCCAAACCCCTGTAATTTGTTTCGACCCTGTCACACAACCGTTGTAACGAGGAAACATCGTTTTCATCTCTCACCCGGTCAACCTTCAACAGTTTTTTCATATGTGCGCGCTGAACTGCCGATTTCTTTCCGTATCTTTCCTTGAGAATATTCACCGCCAATATATAATTTGCCAAAGTCAATGAAAACCCAGCAATATGTGCCTTTGTCGATCCGTCTACGAGCCCCCATAGGTAGTTAAACTTATCTACATCTGATAAGCCATCATTACGGTGCATGGAGCTTTCGAACAAGTCCCAAAACTCTAGAATATTACACAGATTTTCGTCGAATCTTTTACTTCTAGTTTTGGTAGCTTTGCACGTTCCTGCGCGACATGTCTCTTAGCAGCTGTGATCACCTCGCTCGAATCTTCACTCGCAGCAAAACTCGTACTTGCCCCCACATTTACCTCATCTACCGCTCCATTGCTAATTCCCTGTGAATTAACAACAGTTAATTTCAGTCTCTCATAGAGACGCTTAATCAGTTTTTTCGCCTCTGCCCGTAACTTAGATGATTCTTCGATTTCTTTTGCGACATCTTCTTCAGTTGACTCCTTGTCAGCCACGATGAACTTGAGAATATCCGAATCCAATTCCTTCATGGCTCTGAGGGTTTCGTTTATTGTCTCCCGAACTTGTAGAGCGTTGGCTCTTTTTTCGTCAGTGTATCCATCAATTAGCTCCAAAAGTTGCTGATACATTTTAGCAAAAACAACTTTTTTGATACATTTTGGCAAAAACAACTAGCTAATACATTTAGGATAGTTTACTCTGTTTAATTTGTTTTGCTTTAATTGCAAAGAAGGAAAACCAAAAGTGTCAATGAAAATTAATGGTACAATGGTAACTGTGTTCCAAGAGTGTGACAGATGTAAGAGTAATCCTTTTGTGTGGAAGAGTCAGCCATATTTGCTTGGTAAACATCCTGCTGGTAACATCCTTTTAAGTTTGGCAATACTCATGGCTGGTGCTTCTGTTAGCAAGGTGCTACTTATATGTAAGCATCTTGGTTTGATGGTCTACTCTGTTTGAACATTTCTTTACCATCAGAAAAATTGTATGTTCCCTGCTATTGTCAAACATTGGAAAGCTTACAGCACATCATTGATGGAGTCATTAAAAAGGAAAGAGAACTTGACATGGTGTGGAGATGAGAGGTTTGATTCCATGGGGCACAGTGCAAAATATGAAGTGTACACCAGGTTTTGTAGCAACATTGATAAATGCATACATTTTGAATTAGTGCAGGTAAAGTTTAAGTAAAAAAATTGAAATCAAATTGATATCTGTATTAGGATGTTTACATCCTTGTAGAGGAAAACATCCATCTGCTTGGTATTAACTTAGATAATAAGCTAAAATTTGATAAACATATATCTAATCTTTGTCATAAGGTTAGCTCTCAACTTGCTGTTCTAAATCGATTCAAGAACTTAATATCAAGTGATGCTAAAATGAAGATCTACAATGCCTTTATACTCTCGCACCTCAACTATTGCAGCATTGTATGGAATTATTGTGGTGCCCGGAATCAACTTAAATTAGAGAGAATTAACAAGTGTGCTTTACGTTACGTTATGTCCTTAACAATGCAACTAGCGATTACTATTCACTGTTAAACGAAAGTAACACTGTTTCACTTAAACATCATCGCATTCAAGATATCCTTATTTTGGTCTGCTTATGTAAGCTCCTGCTTATGTACAATATTCTTTTAGATACTGTGCACCAAAGTATTGGAATGAGTTATCTGACACTGAAAGAACAGTTATAAACCTAAACTCTTTTAAATCACCTATTAGCAAAAACATTTTTCATAGCCAGTATATATATATATATATATTTTTTTTCTCAAAGCTTGTAATTACTATAGATATATACTATTTATTTGTATATAACTTTTAAATAATTCAGAGATACTACCATACTTCTTGCTAACTTAAATCCAAATTCAAATAAAGATCTATCTATCTATCTATCTATCTATCTATCTATCTATCTATCTATATTTCTATCTAGATAGCTAGATATATATATATATATAATATATAAATATATATATATATATATATATATATATATATATATAATAACTCTCCTGTTAAAGGCCTTTAGCTGTAAAAACATTGACCAGAAGTACCTATATGAAATCTGTACCAAAGATCTGTTTAGGGTCATGAATTTCTCTTGTATTTTGCTTTTAAATTGATCATTTTAATTAATTTTAATAGATTATTAATATAGATCTTACTCAGAGTATACATTGTATTATTTTATACATGAACTTGCTGAGGAACTAATATCCACAGGCATATTTACCAATGCTGTGAAAATTGGGCCAGGTGTATGGGAAGGAGATATCAACCTAAGTCAGATATTTAATCATGATGAAACTCCCCAGTTTATTAACTATGGTGTAGATGGAACACCTAATGGTTTGGTTTATGCTGGACGTGGTGAGACTTGCAAACGTGTTCAGTGATAGAATAGAGAAAGTGTAAAAATCCATCCATTGGTTTTTTTTGCAGGTACAGTTGTTATTAACTGCCCATGTATAGCATGTATAACAAACATGCATACAGTAAAACAAAACCTTAATGTTTTATCTGGAAAGGGTATTACAAGTAACATGGCACCAGCAGAAGGAGTCAAAAACATCAACAACTTGCTCATTTCATCTACAGAAAAAGGAGGTCAAGACCACTGTTCACTTCTGGAATGTTACAAGCTGTTTGATAAGTATCTGAAGGAGAACAACGTACAACGTCCTGTGGTTGTACTAAGTGATGGGCATACTTCCAGATTCGACATTGATGTAATGAAGTTTCTTCATGACAATGATATACGTTTATTTCTGACTCCACCTGATACAACAGGTTTCTATGTTTAAAAGTATTTTTAGTGTGGAGCTAATTTTATAACACTTACCCTTTGACAAGGTATCATAACTTACTGGGTAATTACTCTTTGAATCTTCATAATCTTGTTAAGCAATGTGTGTAATGGAATTACATATCTTTTATTATAATAAACACATACATACCCATCTTTATATAAAAACTGTTAATTGAATAAGGTTGATAAATTATATAGTTACATTAGTTTTGCACACCAAACTTACCATAGATGGTATTGCTTTTAGGGGTGACACAACTTTTAGACCAAGTTAACCGCACTTTACATCTAAGCTACAAGAACTCAAAACATGAACTGTTCACTAGTGCCAGAAGCATTAACCGAGAAGGATTCATGCAAATCTTTGCAAACATGTGGAATGGATGGGTGTCTAAACAATCTCTTCTGAAAGCTGCAAAACGTGTTGGTGTTACAGCAACTGGATTAAATGTTAACTTCATGCAAACAGAAAAATTTGCGCAAGCTGCAGGCATTCTTGAAGAAAACCACATTAATGAAGATCCATCAACCTCACATGGTTACGTGTTATCACCTCAGAATGTGCGAAAAAATTCTGCACTGTACTGACAGCTTCACAAAATCCTTGGCCTTCTTACAAACAACAAAATTACTCCGAAAAAGGCAGAAACAAACGTCCGGGTCACACAATGGAGGGCAAAGATATGCTCCAAGTAGTAAAGTCAATAAAAGAGGAGGAAGATTGCAAACTGGAAGCTCAGAAAGCAAAAGAAAATCGAAACTTAATGATAGAACGGCCTTCTACAAGTGTAAAGAAACCTGTATGTGTCATGAGTCGAAATAAATGTGATGCTTCAGGGTTAAAGGAATGCTCTTCATGTCGCAACGTCCTTCGCTCAGTGTGTGCAAAAGTTGCTTGTCGGAAAAATGGTAAACGTCCAGTTATGATTTACCCTTTTGTGGCTAGAAAGATTAATGTTCGTGAAAGTGCTTACAAGGAGATTGACACTGAAGATACCAAGTGCAGTAGTGATATTTCTGAAGACGAATCCAATGATGAATTTGATGATTCAGAATATGAACAGAAGCCAAATTTTAAGAAAAGTGATACTTTAGAGCAAGCAGTGCAGTCAATGGAGGAAACATGGAAGTTCTTAAGCCCACCCAATGCAGAATCCTACATCATGGCAAGTGGTATGCTGTGCTATACCACAGTTAATAGAAATAGGATGGTTTGGAAAGCCGGCAAACTTCAAAGAGGGGCGGCAAATATGTCGCGCATCAAAGGAAAAAAAATCATGTGACTTTTAGTGTGCATCGCCTCGGGGTAAATAATAGTGAGTTGATAAGGCTTTCCGAAATTTGATACATATTTAATCCCTTAAATCTGATATAAGCTTTTGCTATGGATTTCGAGGAGCAAAGGAACGAAGAACACGCTGTAAGAAATATTTTGAGCGAAGATTCCGGGGAAACGTCGGGCGAAAAACGTGATATTGTTATACCGGTTTCGACAAGGAGTGAAAGCTCTTTCGAGTATAGTGAAGGAATCCATGAATACAACATAGATATTGCTGTTGACATCATTGAAACCGACTACGATGAAGTCGAAAATGAATTTGTCGATTCAATGGTTGAAATTGAAGGCGCAAAAGAATTTCCCTGCACGAAATGTAGCAAAATATGTAAATCAAAGGGTGGTCTGACGAAGCACATCAACTCGAAACATGGCGAGCCTGACAAAGTTTCATCTCATCCGAACATGATACCTCTTGTTTTGACGCAATAAAGTCGATTGTAGAAACCATTAAAACAAATATTATAGCAGAAAATCTTTACGGAGATAATCGACAGCGTTGTAAAGGACATTTCAGCGACCGACGCATTATTTAAGGAAGTGTTACCTCTTTACACGAAATTTTGCCGAAATAGGAACCAAGACAAACTGCTGGAGTCGTTTTATGGATTGATGCTAAATTCGTCAACACTTTTAAATTGCAAAGATTCACGAGTTGCTAACCTAGTTATGATTCACATTCCAGATCATTTAGTTGGGTTTTGTAACGTTGGTCTAGTGGGAGAAAAAACATTGGAATTTGTCGACTACGAAATTCAGCCTTGCGAACATGGTCCTCTTTCGTACATAGTAGGCTATGTTGTGTCGAAATTAAATAAAGCTAGTAAACCAAAGTCAGGGAGAGAAAATCCCGAGATTCAAGCTTTGTTACAAAGCTTGATAGTTTCGAAAGAGGAAGCTAGCAACGAATTTATATCAGCCAGGTCCAGGGGTGGTCTTGTTACCCCTTGCGAGGATATTGTCAGGATTTTACACGAGGCAGAGATTTGTTTTCGGAAGGAAGTTAACTGATGTAATTCGAAACATTCCTGTGGATGAAATCTGCTTTTCAACTATTCGTTTGCCCATTGTCAAGTCACTGTGGGACAATATTGTGTTGACTTCTGGTGTAAATCCAACCTGTGATGTAAATAATTTATGTCTTGAAAACATTGTGAAAATGTTCTTGAAGGTGAGATCATTCTCATATACTAAGGACTATGTCACACAATATAAGATAAGAGAAAAACAAGGCAAAAAGAAGGCATTAAGAAAGGATTTGAAAAGGGACTCAAAAGTACCCATTTGAACTAAGAACTATATTTGATGATGCAAACTGTAAAGTGTAAGATTTAATGTTTTTAAAAAAAAGTGTGTGTTGTTTTAGGAAATATGGGAAATATATGTTTTACAAAAATATTAAATATTTAGTTTTTAATCTCATGCAAACTGGTATACTTTATGTATGTCTTCATCATTCAACTAGGTTTT